ACCGTGAATCAGGAAACCTACAAAATGTAGGCTTCATTCAGACCTGTGAGAATCAAGGCTATCACAGGAGGTGCAATTAAATTTTTAAAGCATCTTACATCACCTCCAGTTCTATATATGAATCTAATGAGATGCATGTGGCAATACGTCTGGGTTTTATAGCTCAACATACACCTACTCTTCAACTCTCTTGATGACCTCACTTCCTAATGAGCAAAGATAAATGCTAAGTCAAGAGATTAGATGTCAGAGTTCTCACACTTCTAAATACACACAGATACGTTGCTTGGTTTTTTGTTGTTTTGTTTTCTTTTTTAACAGAAGGACATTGTTCAAACATTCCCAAAGTTAAAACCACTCTTCTTCTTTTTAAAAAAAATATATAATTTTTATTGATTTCAGAGAGGAAGGGAGAGGGAGAGAGAGAGATAGAAACATCAATGATGAGAGAGAATCATTGATCGGCTGCCTCCTGCACACCCCACAATGGGGATTGAGCCCACAACCAGGGACTGTGCCCTGACGGGAATCGAACTATGACCTCCTGGTTCATAGGTCAACACACGATCACTGCGCCATACCTGTCGGGCTAGACTATAATTTATTAATATGCTGGAGAAGTATAAAGAAGGTAGAGCCTGTGATTGATAGCGTGGTGTCTTGGAGGAGGTAGAATTTGAGCTGAATCTTGTGGTAAACATAGGTGGGAAGGGACCTGGTAGGCATGGGTGAGTGAAAGCTTAGAGGGGAAAACAGGCAGGGAAAGCAGGGTGATTAGAGAGGTGTAGTCTTAGCTGGAATTGTACCAGAAGTGGGTGGGGTCAAAGCGTGGAGGGCTTTGCCTGCCAGCCCTGGGGTTTCTGGGGTTCTCTCTTCACCCCTCTGTCAACTCGTGCACACGAAGGCTGGCCACGCTCTGGGGTAAGATGGCAGCTGGCTGGCTGGGCCTTTCTTGGCTTCCTGGGGACTCTGGCACCTGCCACCCCATAGCTGCTGGGTGGGAGCACAGCCTGCACCAGGTGCTCCCACCCTCTGAAAACCCTTGCCTGCCAGCACCAGAGTGGGTGACATGACAACCAGTTCAGGGATGGGGACAGGTGCAGGGGGTCCTCTCTACCCCTCTGCCTACGGACGCCTGGTGGGCACCAGGAAGGTGGCCAGCAGGAGCAAGTCCCTCATCAAAGGAAGCACTCCCCGTAGAGCAGGGATAAGAGGCCACGCCATGCCCACTAATTATTCCGTTTAGAAGAAACCAGAAGCTGGGGTGGGTTGGCAAAGCCAGGGCAGGCCTGAGCGGTCTGACGCCGCCACAG